GAATAGGCTTTGGGCCTAGTTTTGCATCACTCGCCATCCACCAACATTTGAATGTATCTGGACACAGTCGCGTCCAAATGCACTCAAAATCTAAAGGCATGGCGAGTGGTGACCTAGGCCATTCTATTTCAGGACAGGAACTCCTGCTGAGGTGAAAAGCTCGGAAAAAAAAAGAAAAAAAAAAAGCTCGAGGCCATGCGACCCCTGAGTTTCCTTCGATTTCGATTTTCGACTCTGATGTACTTACCGCCTTGGGCACTGAGCCCGCAAATTGAAAAATGGATTCAAATTTCAAAAGCAAAATCCTTTTTTTTTTTTTTTTTTTTCATTAGCAGCATTCAGCTTTCAAATTTTCGCTTATTGCCGTCGGTCTGTTTTCCCTGGTCCTCTTTTTTTTTTGCCGTCGTTGGCCTCGACGAGCTCTTCACCTGGAGCGAGGTCCCACTAGCAAAGGGGATTGGATAAATATCCAGAACCTGGACGTGTTTTAAGTAGACATGCAGAAAAGCAGTTCAATCTCGACATTCTGCACCTTTCCACAAACACGTCCAGATTCAGCTCTTCAATCCTTATCCTCTTTGCAAGTGGGACCTCGCCCCTGCGCGGGAGTTAGTTTTTCATTTCGAGGTCTTCTGACCGTTGGATTTCCATTTCGAGATCTTCTGACCGTTCGATTTTGATCTCAAAACGGAGATTCCAGCGGCGAGGTCCATTCGCCATGATTACTAGTCCTGGACCGCGGTTTTTTTTGGGGGGGGACCGTAGATTACTTTTTTTTGGGGGGGGGACCGTAGATTACTTTTCGGGACCGTAGATTACAAGAATCAGTGGGTTTGGAAATTGGAACAGAATCCAAAAAAAAAGGGAAAAAAAAAATGAAAAGAAAGAGGACCAGCGGATACGGACCTGAATCCACGTTGTTGCCACCCACAAGCCTGTGTTAGAATCCTCCACGTTGTCGCCACCAACGGAACGAGGTCCCACTAGCAAGACGGATTGGACTGAACACCTGAATCTGGACGTGTTTGCGGCGAGGTGCAGAGAATCAAGATTGAACTGCTTTTCTGCATCTCTGCATAAAACACATCCAGATTCAGGAGCTTACTCGAATGCTCTTTGCTAGTGTGACCTCGCCTATGGCCTTCCCACGAACACCTCGGAAGCCGTGTCTCAAAAGCAAAAAAAAAAAAAAAAAAAAAGGCAGAACTTAATGCTTGTTTGGACGTGCCTCATAGTCAATCCTCTGCCCCCAAAGGAATAACCAATGCTGGCAGTTGGAGAAAAAAAAAAAGGGGAGGTGCATTTTTTTTTTTTTTTTTTTTTTTTTT